ACACACACACACACACACACACACACACACACACACACACACACACAGACACAGACACGCACACATGGGGTTCTCAAATCTGAAGATGTGAGTTTCAGAGATATCCAGTAGTGTGTCGCTGAGGTGCGGTATCAAGCTGCAGCTGCGAGGCAGGAGAGTTATCTAACACACCTAGATTGTGCTGACCCAGACCTCCTGCTAATCCAGGCTGTAGGCAACACCGTGTATTGGGCGATCTCAATCAATCCGTCAAGGTGTCAGCTCCTCCCTCCCTCTCGATCTTTCCCTCCTGCAAGGATTTTCTTGCCCACTCCCCTCCCCCTGCTTCTTCCCTCTGACCATCCTTTTTAAAGGTTAGCTTTAGATTTTCAAGTCTGTCTTAATACAACACTCCCATATGTACGTTGGAAGAGTTGTTGGTAACTGTAATCCATCCTCCTCCAACACAATCATTGTTTTTTGGTTTGAATTTTATTCAGGAATTTCAGTGTTTCCTTGCAGCTCCAAAAAAATGCCCACTTTACTTTACAAGAGATAAACCGGATCGGTATTAGCACAGATACTGGCTTTGTCTCTTACATTCATTGAAGCCCAACACTAGTTTTTAGCTGCAGAGACACCTGGCCTAAATGTCTCCTCTCAGTTCCATGGTGCAAAGATTTCATCAAGATCAATGTGTGAAAAAGAGACTGGTAAGGGGTTCAAGTGTTGTGTTGGCAGATACCCTGATTTGAAGTATTTCCAACAAAAAAAATCAGATAAAACTCACAAATACTAATTACGCTTCTTTCAGAAAACCCTAACCGACACTTTAAACATGGCAGCGAGGGTTGCCAATTTCAGCTGTTCATTTTAAGCACCATCTTGTAACTCTCTGTTCAATACTTTTTTTTTACAGCTTCTGCAGCAATTGTAATTTCCTTCTTCGATTGCCAGGAGTTAGAAGCCAGTCTCAAGTGTTTCTTTATCGTTTGCTTGGCTTCACACAGGTAGATGGGCTCTTCCCACACTCTGCCGTGTTTATCAAAGAAATGTGAGTTCCAACTGCAACCGTCTCGTCCTGTGAAGAAACCAGAAGTGCAAGCTGATAGTAGAATCTCCTCTTGAATTAGTATTCTGTGGAGAGAGCTATCTGCTCCTTCGGGTATTCATGCCGGAGGTAAAACATGTTGTCTAAGCCCCGCAAAGAAAGTTCTGCAAAATATTGTGTGAGCAAAAAGTCATTTTTTGGTCTCCTCCACATGTATCAACAACATACATTCAATGTCAAAGAGAAAAAAAACATCCTCACATTTTTGATATTTTAGCTTTTGATCTATGACTTGTTCCAGTTTTTTCTTTTTCTTAAACGAAAATCGACATTCACTCCCCCCTGTTGCCTTTTTTTCTCTCTTGGTGAGGCAGTAGGAGGGTAAGACAGTGGCAAAGACAAAAACACACACATGATGGTGTGTGTTTAGGTGCTAGAGTGTGTGTGTGTGTGTGTGTGTGTGTGTGTGTGGGCTTGCCGCACTGCTCTGTCCCGTCATAACATGTCATTCTGGACACTATTACTCCCAACAGAGGCGAACACTGCAGCTCACTGACACAGAGCGTAAGGTCATCTGTCAAACAGAGAAGGCAAGTGTGTGTGTGTGTGTGTGTGTCCACGAGAGCGTGCCTGTATATCATAACACATGTGTTCGTGTGTGTTTGTACGTGTAGCTTGAATATATTTCTGGTTGTGAGACATCGCGCTGTATGAAGGCCCTGGGAAGCTGTCCTTCACACAGAGCAGAACACGGTTACCTTCCAAACCTCTCATCCCTCTCCTCCTCTTTGCTGAGTTCAAAGGTTTCCATGGCTACCGGCGTCCCAGTGGGAACGCAGTGTGCTCTGCCCCGGAGCCGTCGGAGCAAGCGTGCTTGGCAGGAGGGGAAGAGGGGGATGTGGTGACTTTTGACCTGGTCTTACTAATGGAGAAGGGAGGTGGGGGTGGGGGGGTTAGAGAAACAGGGCTGTGCAGGGGTTGTACATTTGACTGATCTTCGGTGAGGATT